TAGTGCCCTGAACCCTAAAGCCCAAAAGCTGCGTCTTACTGCGCCAAGGAAGATTCCACCTCCTCCGATTGCTGTGGAGTATTATCTCTCTGATGAGGCTGATCATGCATGTCGTATATGTGCATATACAGACACAGACATGTACAAACTACAGACGCAGTGCAAGTCGCACGCTTTGTACATTTTCAGTATGGCGCCACATCGGACCTCTACTATTTTGGGGGTTCCTTACTACAGCTAAAATAAGTATAGTATAATCAGTATAATCTATACACCCCAAAGCCATGATCGAATTAATAAATTTCTGAAAGAATGGCTCTTCTATATGGCGACCCAAGAGGCATCCCCCTGGAGCGAGCTACCCATACAATAGAAGAGTACAACACCAGCTTTTTCTTCTGCTTCGGTGACGAAACCCTCACCCTACGGGTTGGATTATCTTCAAATTCGCCGTAGCAGGCAGTCTGGTTGAAGTGGCTGTCAGGGCTTTGATTGCGAGGTCTGGATACTTAGCGGCAGTATACCCTGTTACTCTCCAGATTACTCTAAACCGTGAACCCTAAACCTACTACTTTTGCATACCCCAACACCCAATCGGTCCGTGTGGTTGCCCACCTTTTGAGCCCTGGCCGAAAGACCGAAGTAATGCAGAGGTTTCAGGGTTCTTGGAGGCTGTAAGGCTCTCTGACAGGTCGACACGGAGCTTGATAAGGAGTTCTACAGAGCCCCATGCTTCCTTCCGAAGCTCTAAATCCTAAACCCTAAACCCTAAACCCCAGCCCTGAAGCCGCCTTTCTGTGCCAGCTCTACTTGTTCGATAAGATGCAGACGAGCATCCCGGAGGGCAGTAAGCGTGGGGGTGCCCAGTCGCCATATTCGCGCGCTTGAGGTGTAAAATAGAGGCTATGGTTCCTTTAAAGGGGACTATAGGGTTACTTTAAGGGATCTATAAGGGTACTATTATATGGAGGCTTTAACACTTAGAATAGGGTCTTGGGTACATTTTACTATATATATATATATATATATATATATATATATACATCACAAGGCCACCCAAAAGCAATATAGTGGTTCAGGGATAAGCCTTGAGCCTCAAAGAAGCGTTTGGAGAACGTTGAAGGGTGACAGCTTTTGGAGAAAGTTGAATGGTGACAGCTTTTGGGTTGGTGCTTGGGGTTTCGCGTTTGCGATGGACGGTGTGGGGGCTCTCTGATGTGTAGCCATATCCCAACTGCACACATGCTGCAGACGCTGAAGCCTAAACACTGAATCTGAAACCATGAACCCTCCGACCCAGAGCCCCACACCTTCAGCCCTAAATTGAGGCAGGCCGCCCTGTGCCACGCTCTACGATGCTGGGAACTCGGCTTCCGTAGATTTCTTTTCCTGCCAGCTAGTACTTGTCGGCGAATTTGGAATTGTTCTTCAATGTGTGTTTGGTAGTTTTTGTTCGATCGCATCTTTTTCTGATGACTTGTCACCAAGTGTTTCGCGGCTACAGTAACAGTCCCTTGTTAGGCCTTGAAGAACCACACAAGTCGTTCAGTGAAATGGTGTCACGGGTTGTCCAGTCCTCAGCCACCAGCCACACACCCAAAATCCTAAACCCCCGAGCCGCAAGGTCTTCTGCAACATCCGTGACGACGAGGTCCCAAATGGAAGGGAGGGCCTAAGGACACGTATTGAGGCCTTGCGTGGTCATTCCCAGATCCCATATCCGTACAACTACCTACAAGCACATCGGTTTAGGGTTAGGGTGTCCTGAGGCCATGTAAGTCTAAGTCTTTCTTAGGGATCCGAGGCTTCGTGCTTGGTTTTTTGGGGGCTTACTGCAGGCCCATGCCTAGAATGCAAGAGCTCTGCACTCTCCTCCGCGGATGGGCGGGGCATGAGGTCCCGCTCACCTCGGGTAGGGGATTAAGGGTTTAGGGTTTGGGGGTTTAGGGGTTTAATGGTTCAGGGTTTTGGGGGTTTAGGGGTTTAGGATTTAAGTTTCCCCACGTCTGACTTGTGTACTTCTGCAGGATGCTAGAAACCCTTGTTTCCTCCGCCCCAGCGTTCATGGGCTTTCGAAGGTTGTGCTCCACGTTTTGGTGCTGCAGGGTTCAAAGTGCTAAACAATGAGCCCTCGATCCCAACCCAAACCCAAACCTTTTAGGGTTTAAGGGTTAACGTCAGTGTTTAGGGTTTCAGGCTTAGGATTTAGGGTCTCGTGAAATTTGTGGTTCAAGGTTTATGGTTTAGGGGTTAAGGTTTCGGATTTAGGGTTTAGCGAACCACTCAGCCTGAAACGGCATGTATCAAACGTTGTCTGGAACTGTTGGGGTCCCGATCCGTGAACTTGAAAAGCCCGACCCTAAAGTTTGAAGCCTGAACCGTGCTTGAATCCGAGAATTGGCATGCCTCGCGAAGGTTCCCGACTACTTTTTCCTATAGATCTTTATGGATGCTTGTTTCGGGGGTTCGTGAACTCTGAACGGCCTTGCATCAGGAGCAGCATACGCTGACCATGACTGCCTGCGAGGACACTCCAAAAATCAGTGTTTCGTGTGTTAGGGTTACTCTAGAGTTCCCCTAAACCCTTAAATCCCTAATCCCGAAACCCTATCAAGCACACACCTACAGGCCCGCAGGCTCTTCCTAAACCTACAATCCTCAGCCCTCGACTCGCGGCCTCTCAAATCTGCGCTTTTCCCAAGCCACGAACCCCAAGAACCAATTAGGGTCTAGGGTGTAGTGCCTGGGGTTGGGTCGAGAGTACCCATTATGTTTTTCTGGGGCAGGGTCTTAGGGTTTAAGGTTTAGGTTTTGCGGTAGGGTGTTTAGTATACATTTCCTTCGTCAAGAGACCGTCACTGCGAGGGAACTTGCCCCTGGACCAACAACTCTAAACCAAAGATGATACAGGATGTTTGGAGGCGGTAATTACAGGTTTCGTTTTGTTTTTGGCTTGCAGCCGGAATTATGAGAAAACATCCGGCTTTATAGCTTATAGTTCCATCTCTACTCCACAGCCCTACATATTCTAATCATGAAGGCCCTATGCTACTTGACAGGAGTGGAGCCAAGGGGGCAATCCTCCAGTCGATCTCGGCATCTTGCCTGCACCGCAGACGAGTTTGTTGCTGCCGCCCTGCGCGGGTCGTACCCAGAGCCTCCAACACCACTTAATTAAGGAATATCCATAAAATCTATAAGGATCCCTAAAATGATTCAAGGTATATTCCTTAATTAAGGGGGTTTGGAGTCTCTGGGAAGGTATGTTCACAGCGTGGTCCTCCGGAGCTCCAGCGGAACCCTAATCCCACTGTGGGAACTCCACAGAGCCGGCTGGTTCAATAGCAGGGATGTGCATGAGATGTGACACTGAACTGACAAGCATGGCAACTCTTCGAAGAGCTCTGGAAGCTCTAAAACCTAAACCCTCAATACCTCAAACCCTGAGTCCAAAACCATAAATTATGGTGGAAACTGTAGATGCCTGAGCCCTCAATCCTTAACGCCCCATCCTCAGGCTTCAACTTCAACAGCAAGCTGACCAAAGAAGAGTATCTGCGAAAGGCCTGGCCACCTGTCGAGCTCTATGTATATACAGTAATATGAACAACTGTTTTTCTTCTCCTTCTTATAACCATTACTATCAGCAGTATTCTGAATATTTTTATGAATAAGCATTACTTTTCCCCTTGCGTATGTTACAGGTGTTATCAACAGTATTCTGATGATTGTTGCCTGTTGCGGAGAAGATCAGTCTCGACTCTTCGGCTCTTCGGCGCATCAACTTCAACAGAGAGGCTCTCTACGGGTCTCTATGCTATGCGAGGGTGTCGGGTGTTGCAGGGTTCTATAAGGGTTGACAAGGTTGAGGCTTCTATCAGGAACTTATGAGAGTACTTTCTTGAGGTTCCTGAAAGGGTAAGAGGCTTGAAGAATCTTCCTGAGAGAGCACGCTCTCTCTCTCTCTCTCTCTCTCCTCTCGCTATGCGTGGTTCATGATGACGGGCGTGGTTCCGTGTGAAACCCGTTCAGGGTTGAGGTTGTGATGCACATTGCCCTATTCCCCCAATTTTACTGGTTTTGGAGGTGACGCAGACGGAGGCCGGCCGAGAGGCTTGGATCGCCTGGGGCGAGGAGGCGCGCAGACGTCTTTGGCTGAGGTCCTTGAAGGATCACTTAAAGGCCATTGCTCCTCCTAGATCCAGGGCTGCGTGTTTCGTCATAACGCCCAGGTTTCAGGTTTGGAGGTTTGGGACTGTTCAGAGCTTAAATTTATGCGTTAGGGCCATTAGGGTCCAGATTGAGGTGAAGGTTTTGGGGCTTCGGACCTGAAATAACGCTAAAGGTCCTAAACCCTGGCGTGCGTGCATCCTTGCTCCTTCCGCTTTCCTGCAGCGGCCCTGAACAAACATCTCCAACCCGCCTTGTGCCCTTTTGGAGCTTTCGTAACACTCCAAGCCACTCCAAGCTGAGTCGCACTGATGACCCCGTCCTATCGCTGCATCGTTTGGCTTCGAGGATAATGTCGCATCTCCGGCCAGCAGCCCTGGACTGGCGATGCCAGGGCTCAGTGCGACATGGTTAGCCTCTGCAGTGCTCGTGTGTGATGCTGCGAAGCAGCTTCGATCACACTGCCCGGATGCAGGCATCAAGGAGAACATCAGCTGCTTCCTCTCCCAGGATGTGGCCTTTGTGGAGCAGCAAGGGCTTCGGGTGATGAACTTTACTACTGCCTCCCTCCACAGCATTGCCAGCAAAGCCAATCAAGTCGACTGGCCATGGTGGATGGCTGCTGTTTGCACGTGCATCCTCCTACCTGGTCTCCTTTACTTGCTTTGCAGGATGCTGCCGAATCGTTACGACATAGCTTACGAAGAGCTGCACCAAGAGGAGGACAGCTCGTCCTGTGAGTCTGAAGCCACACGTCTGTAGAGTCGGACAGCGATGACGGGGTCTTTGCTAAAACGAAGGCAAAGGCCCAGCTCTCGGTGGAGGCTGTCATGATGGCCGTAGATGTGGCCTTAGACATCAAAGTGGGCGTCTACTACTGTTCGCAGGGGCTTTGGCTCTTCGGGCCGATGGCCTTGACCATCCCGGCCCTGGCAGGTCTGGCATGCTTCGCGTACAAGCGCTGGATGTGGGAGAGGGATTATGACGATGACAACTATTATAATAAAAATTTAGACGAGGCAGGTCGGCCGAAGCCAGGTCTGCTTACCTTGCTGCGCCAGGTTTTTCAATTGGAATTTCTGACCACCGCTTATCAGAGATACCAAAACCCAGAGCTGCATCAGCGAGGCTGGCTCATCGACCAAGCTTTCAACGGAGTGTTGGAAGGATTCCCACAATGCCTGCTGCAAACGTACGTGCTGCTGTGCCTGGAGCAGGAGGCCGTGCACACGGACTCCGTGGACACAGGCATTCAGGTTGTTTCGATAGCTTTCTCGTGCTACAGCATGGCCAAGGCCCTTGGAAACATCAGCTTCACACTGCTTCAGATTGAACCGGTCTTGCCTGTGCCCTCGGGGCTCTCGGGATGGCAGCTGCTGTTTTTGCAGGTTGCTGATGTGGCCAGCCGGCTTCTGTGCTGGTGCACACTGGGAGCTGCCCTGAGGAACCCCAGTGCAGACATCCACGAGAACGGTCAGCTCGTGCTGCCGATCTTGATGACGGTGGAGTTCGTGGCAGTGGCATGTTTGCTCCGTGCCTCGCTGGACTGGACATGTCTAAATGCTTCCGAGTCAGCAGCGATCGCCGTTCTGTCCATGACCGTTGCCTACCTTTCGACACCCATGCTGATCTTTGTTGCCACCTTCACAGATATGCTCCGAGTTCAAGCGCTGTTGTGCTGCCTGCGCGGGTTCGAGGTGCTTGTCTGCCTGTGCATTGTGTGGTACCGTGTGCATGCCGTCAACCAGCCCCACACACTGCTCTTGTCGTTCACGATCGGCAGCATGGCGGCGTACTTTGCCGTCTTCGTGACGGTGGTGTTCGATCGCTTCATGCGCCTGCAACGAGGCCGCCCGGTTTTGCCTTCAGCCCATGGGGGGCAGTTCAACGAGGCACACTGGGCATGCGCTTTCAACAACCTCGAGCTGCTGAAGAGCTGCGGGTCCGACTCTCTCTCCGAGAAGACCATTGAAGGCTGGACCCCTGCACATTTGGCGGCCGAAAACGGGCATGAGGCTGCGCTGCATCTGGTCTACGTGCTGGCTCCCGAGACCTTGTCTGCCCAGGACAACAAAGGGACCGTCCCTGCACACTGGGCTGCTGTATCCGGACACGAGGCCGTCCTGAGGCTTCTCAACGAGATAGCTCCGGAGACCTTGTCTGCCAAGGACAATGAGGGCCACGTCCCTGCGCACGCTGCAGCTTTTCATGGCCAGGAGGGCACCCTGAGGCTTCTCGACGAGCTGGCTCCGGAGACCTTGTCTGCCAAGGACAATGACGGCCGAGTCCTTGCGCACTGTGCAGCTGCTTTCGGCGGGGAGGCCACCCTGAGGTTTCTCCACGAGATAGCTCCGGAGACCTTGTCTGCCAAGGACAATAACGGCGGAGTCCCGGCGCACGTTGCAGCTCGATTTGGGCATGGGAACACCCTAAGGCTTCTCGACGAGCTGGCTCCGCAGACCTTGTCTGCCAAGGACAATGACGGCATAGTCCCTGCATACGAAGCAGCTTTCGAGGTCGACGGAGCCACCCTGGAGCTTCTCTACGAACTGGCTCCCGAGACTTTCCGGGACGCTGGCATTGCACCCGCTGCAGCTGAATTAGGCCGTGAGGCTACTCTGAAGCTTCTGAACGAAGTGGCTCCTGAGACCATGTCTGCCCGGGACGATAACGGCCGAACCCCTGCACACGAGGCGGCGTGCGCCGGACAGGAGGCTACTCTGAAGCTTCTCAACGACCTGGCTCCTGAGATCATGTCTGCGCGGGACGATAAAGGCCGAACCCCTGCACACGAGGCGGCGTGCGCCGGCCATGAGGCTACTCTGAAGCTTCTGAACGAAGTGGCTCCTGAGACCATGTCTGCCCGGGACGATAACGGCCGAACCCCTGCACACGAGGCGGCGTGCGCCGGACAGGAGGCTACTCTGAAGCTTCTCAACGACCTGGCTCCTGAGACCATGTCTGCCCGGGACGATAACGGCCGAACCCCTGCACACTATGCTTACCTTGTCTGCCACAGACAATGACGGCAAAGTTCCAGCCCACTTGGCCGGAATTCGCTCTCTGGAGTTCTTGTGTGAGCTGGCCCCCGACACCCTCTGTGTCAGGACAACTATGTCCAAACCCCTCTGAGAGTTCGAAGTCGAGTTTCACGCGGAAGCACGCTGAACTCATGTCAGCATGCCATGATGTCTGAATCAAGACAGAGTTTGACTTTCCATTGCATCTGGTGTGAGCTATTGAGCAGCACTCCAGCTCACCCCCTGGCCAGGTCGCCCAGGCCGCCGAAGCGAACGGAGTCGCCGGTCGGCCCTTTCCATGAGCGGGGTGGCCATGGGGGACTCACGTGGGTTTGGGGTTTACTGGGGTTTAATGGGGTTTAATGGGGTTTGGGGGTTTTGGGGTGTAGGGGTCTTGGGGTTTAGGGGTTTTGAGGTTTGGGGAAGGTCGGTTGGAGGCAAGGGTTTGAGGTTGAGAGGGTCTGGAGGACTGTGATTTGTGGGGTACGCGGTTCAGGGCCTCGGAACGACTTGGGCTTGTGGGTTTGTGAGAGTCGGGGTCTGGTGTGTTTGCGGGAATGGAGGGACCACCACCGCACCCTCGCAGCCCCAGCATCCAAGACTGTGGGCGAGGACATGAAAACTGAGGCGGTAACGGCTGGATATAAGCTATATTACTTCTAGTTATACATAGCTCTAAATACGACCCCAAATATGGACTGTCACAGGGTGAGGGCACTCCCCGATGTTTCGATCTCATTGTCTTACTGTATGACTTCAAAGTCTCTTTTGCGGGCTCACGATCTTGGGTGGATGGTTCGGCTTGGGTGAGGATGTCCAAACCCCAAGCCGAAAGAGTTCTGTCTCTTGAAGCCGCAACATGAGATCTTAAACCCTGCACCGATGGCCCCAAGTCCAAAAGTAAAACAACCACCAAAACCTCACCCTGAATCCCAACCCACTTCCATCGCGGAGGTGTGGTGTAACCCCACTGTGTTTTCCAAGCTGAAATTTGCTGCATTTTTTGGGAGGAGGAGGTCGGGTGCAGGTCCTGCTGCCTCCGAGCACCGGAGCGGAAGGAAGAGGCTGTAATAGTCAGACGAGGGTTGGGTTCAGGAGTTGAGGGTTTGAGCTCCTGGATAACGCTTCGGAGTAACATCAGCCTTGCAAACCCTCAACTTCGGCGCCGGAAGCATCATGGAATCCTAAGCCCTAAACCACGAAACCCTAAACCTTACCTCTCACCACCACTTTAATCCAAGACCTTTAACTGACATGATATGGGGTATCGTATACTATACTTGTACTGTGGAGCATTGTAGCAAGGAGCACTAAGGACTTGAATAGTATACTCGAATCGTAAGTAGGAGCTGTAAGGAATAGTCTTCTGATGTTCGAAGAGTTCTTTCCTTTTGGATTTGGGGTTAAGGGATCGGGGTTCTGTGTAGTACCCTTTCAGCCTTTCATCCCTACGCCCTAAGTGCTTGGTTGGGCCAAAGATCGACCCATCCCTCCTTGACCAACTGCTGATGCAGCTTGTCGCTGAATCTGCAGCATCGTAAAGATGCATAGTGCTCTTGGCCCATCCCCACCTAGTGAACCCTAAACCCCAACCCTGAACCCTTTACGCCTCAGTGGAAGCCTTAGAAACCGTAAGTTCACGCCCTAAGTATTGCATTCTCCGGACAGTTTGGGCCAACGAGCTTCCAGAAGTGCATGAGAAGTGTTTTAGATGCCCCTGAGAGAGAGGTCCATGTCAACAAGTCAGGGCTCGACGGCTTAAATGGGGTTTTGGGTGTCAGGGTTGGGGGTTGGGGTTTCAGGAGTTGTTCCAGGTTGTGGGCACTTCAAATTTGTTGGGTCCGCGAATTGCAGAGCATCGCACAGACCGCTTCGCAAATACAACAAGGCCTCAAACCAAGGTCGAAGTGCAGCAACTTCAGATTTTGGGGTTGCCATGCATATGGTTTTGAGGTTCTTGCTGAAGGGTTTAGGGCTCGAGGCTGGCATTGTTCAAGATATCGCCGAGGTTTACCGGACGTTGCCCTGCAACTTTGCTGCGACGTAGACCTCAAAATGGCAAAGTTTTATGTGCCCCGTGGCAGTTTTTCCGTGCAGCCACACGGGTGCGAATGCATGTCGGGGTGACAGGCCTAAGTGCCGAAAGCCCTTCCGGTTGTCATCGGCCCGTGGCCCTCTAAAGCTCAAACCCCTTTGGTTGATCATGTTTGCTATGGTTAATCTGATTAATCTATCTTAAGACCTGGGGTTCTGAGAGCATGCCCTCCGTTTGTGATCCCAGGGCCCCTGTCAACTATTTCTTAGAGGATCATGGGACTTAGTATCTCTGGTGTAGAGCTAAGACTAAGATAACTTGACCACCTCAGTAGTTCTAGCCCCAAGTCAGCTGTTCATGACCTCACTCACTGCGTCCCGCGATCCTCCGAGCAGTCTAGAAGCCAGATGTGCCTAGACTTAGCCGAAGCAAGCTAAGACAGACCTTGGCACGAGAGACGACCTGATTCCGCAGCACCGGAACAGGACCCTGCGATTGAAACAAAGGGTTCCTTTTATTAAAGAGCCCCAACGGGCTCTATAATGGAGCTATCGGGGTTTAGGGTCTGCTAGGTTCCTGAGTGTACCCCTTTGCCCTTTTTATTGTATGGTTCCTCATTAAAACCGAATATTTGATAACAAGAACAATATTAACAATTACTAGTAACAGCAACAACAACAACAACAGCAACAGCACCAATTATAACTATGACAACAAAAATAAAAGTAGTAGGTACTATTAGCTATTTTTATTGTTCTATTGTAATTATTTCCCTAAACCCTAAACCCTAAACCCTAAACCCTAAACCCTAAACCCTAAACCCTAAACCGTGTAATTATCATTGTTTAGGGATCGCTCAGGAACCCCAGAGTCGGTCCTCAAGGCGCAGCTGCTTGAGGAAAGCCCGAAGTCCCTGAGCCCGAAGACAGCAAAAACCAGAGCGCTGGACCATATGGGGAACTGTGGTTCCTTTAAAGGGGTCTATAAGGGTTCCTTTAAAGGGATCTATAAGGGTTCTACAAAGGGTTTATAGGGGTTTAAAGGGAACTCCAGAAAGTTGGAATATGGTTTCAGGGTAGGATACCTTATAATTTACCATAAAGGGTTTAGGATCATCATATTCCAACTTTCTGGCTTTTACTGTAAGGCTAAGGTTTTTTGTGATAAGGTACCATATGGTACCTCACCTAATCATCGATATTGGGGGCCGGCGCTTAAGGATTTTCAGGTTTTACCGGGCTGTTGTTAAGGCTGACCATAATAACGAAGCCATCTGATTTGCTAAGATCCCCTTTATTATGGTACCTTACCTAACCGTTGATATTGGGGGAGCTAAGGAGCCAGGGATGATGATAATTCCTACTAGATAAGGAGCTAAAGAGCCAAGGCTAAGGGAACCCCCAAAATCACTGGTTAGATAAATCGTAGGATCTTCGTAACAAGGCTCTCCCAAGAAGGGACCCAAACCCTAATTCCTAAACCCCTAATGTAAGAAGTTCGCCGATCGAACATCTGCTCTTTGAGGCTACGGCAGGACTCAACGCGACGCCAGCGGGCTTGCAGCAGTAGGATTGGGCAGGCACCCTTGCGACTTCACCATGTTGCAAGCCATCGAGGGCCTCTTTGACCCATGTGGCGTTTCAAGGAACCTCCGATTGCAAAATGAGCTGGCCAGCCAGAGAGATCTTCACCAACGAGAGCTGCTCAAGATGCAGGGGCAGCTGGCAATCTTGTTTGCTTCGAACCTGAAACTCGAGACTCAGCTGAAGGCTACGCGCGATGCATGCAAAGCCGTGGAGGTTGAATTGCAGGAGACGATTGTCAGCTTGCAGAGCCAACTGGGACTTGTGTCTGCATCCAAGAGGGAACTTGAGACTCAGCCGAAAGGGTCCAGAGAAAGCGTCAGGGGCTTGCCACGGCCTCCTCCAGTTGATTCTGCGAGCCTTCGTAAGTTCGAGGAATTTAAGGCACAACTGCACTTGCAACGTGAACGGCTGAGACGAGTTTCCGACGCAAATCGTCTTTCTCTTGCCATCCCCGGGTGCTGTGAAACTGGTGCGCGATCGGTTCCTCAAGTCCATGGCCCAACATCGTTATGAGATAGGTTCGGATCGGTGGTGTGAGGCACCAAAAGTGCACGTCTCTCGCATCATCGAAGTACAGAACACCAACTTACAGGCACTTTTCGAAGTGGCCAGGCGCCACGAGATGATCCCGCGCAATCAGGATCCAGGCACTCAAGTGCGACGTGGAGGCAGGGGGTGTCAACTTGAACGAATACTTGCTCTTCCATGGTTGCCCTGTACATGCCGTGGATAGGATTTTGAGCCGCGGTCTTGATCCGCAGCGTGGCGGAGAAGCGTCTGGAGCTTTGCTTGGCTGCGGGACTTATTTCGCTCAAAATGCCCCTAAAAGTGACCTCTATACCACTTGTGATGAAGGCAGTCCTCGTTCAAAATTTTCGGAGTGCTGCCATGCCACAGGGGAAAGGTGCATCCTGGTCGTACGGGTTGTACTGGGAGCAACGAAGGCGGTAACAACGGAGAATATGAGCGCTTCGCACAGAGCACCAGATCGCTGCAATGGTGACCCGTATGACTCCGTCACTGCCTTGACAAGAGAACATGGGGGAAGAGTCGACCACATGGAGTTCGTGAGTTATGCCAAAAACCTGTCATTGGTCCAGTATCAGATCTACTGTCGGCATCGTGACGCATGCGAGTGCCACAATTGCGAGCACAGACGATTTAGATGTCGTCAGTGATGAATTCGATATAAACAGCCGAGCTCTCGGGCGGCGCTGTGAGTCCCACCTCGGCCTCAACCGAGGTTGACAGCTGAGTCCGGCTAGCGAGACTGCATGGATTCGAAGGCTGTAACGGCTTGCCTTTTTGTTCGGCGGTCGGGTCTCGGATAGGAGGAGCTCCAGAAGCTTTTCAGGGCCCGGATTTCGGATTTCAGGCTTCTCTAG